ATAGTCACATGGACTCTCTATGTTTTGTAAGCTCTATCTCACCTCGAGCAAGCTCCAACGCTTTTGCCAAGAATTTCTTCTATAGGACCCACACTAAGTGGAATCACATTCCTCTAGATATCCGTGAGATATAGAGTATCACTGATTTTAAAAGTAAACTTTCCACTTACATGTGGGGGAAAATTATCCCGGTGGATTCGGACTCTGAACTTGACTATTCAATAGAAACAAATCCGTAAAATAGTTTATTCAAAATTATCTATTCTTGCTGTCTGCATTCACATATTTCTCAATTTCATCTCACAGCACAATATTTTATGAATTGATTGAATTGGTGTGTGATTTTGTTTAAAGTAACTTATTACAATTTTATAAGGGCCCATGCTTGTGCAGGAGCTGCATTTGCACTCAATATCTGTGTTTTGGTGACCCTCAGGTCCTTTGGTTACATACATTTTGTCCGAGACAATTTCAACTTTGACAATCCATGCTTAGAGGACAATATTATATTTAACTAATTCATTGTGTAAACTTGTATGTAATTGACTGATTTGAAAGATTTCAATAAAAAAAAAACTAGCAGCTCTTGAGGACTTGTCAATTCCAGAACTGAGCGGCTTCTCGGTCAGCCATCTTCTGTGGGCAGACGACCTGATACTTTTGGCACTCGACGCCAAAATCCTGCAGAAACAACTTGATTGCCTGCACGAATTTGCAAGTAAATGGGAACTGTCAATTAACATCGACAAAACCAAAATCATGGTATTCAACTCGAGCTCTCGTTTGCTGAAGTGCTCCTACGGGTTCAAACTAGGGAACCTGGACATCTCATCGGCCAAATCTTACTGCTATCTAGGCATTCAATTCAGTCTCAACGGTTCATTTAAAGGTGCCATGAACGAACTGAGGAAAAAAGCACTAAGAGCATTTTTCTCGATCAGACGCATGGTCGACACTCGAGCATTAACAACAAAAACCATGCTCAAGCTTATAGACAGCCTCGTTAAACCAGTCGCTACGTATGCCTGTCAGATATGGCTACCGTGTACAAAAATGGCAAAGGAGATGGCTTGCGCTGATGGTTCAAGACAGAACCTTGCTAGAGCTGCAACAAAGGACGCACTTGAGACAACACACCTGAAAATGCTGAAGTGGGTGCTCGGCTTACACAAGAAAGCTAACAACAACTTCTGTTACGGAGATACGGGCAGGTTACCATGGGCCCTGTCGGTACTACCACAATGCCTGAGATACTTCGACAGATTGTCTCAGACATCACCCAACGTGAGCAGCGTCAACTTTCTTGTACATCAGACATTCCAAGAGCAGAAGAATCTAAACCTCTCTTGGTATAAGACCTGGAACTCGATCGCTCAGTCTGAATCCAAAGCGGCCAAATTCGCTCGATCCGACCAACGCAGAGCAGAAGGAACGACCTCAACTGCACATGGAAATTTGGTCGATCACTTTGTAAAAGATTGGAGAACAGATTTAGCATCCCAAAAGAAAATGCAATTTTACTGCACTATCAAACAGGTATTCGGAGAGGAGCAGTATCTCAATCTAAAGAATAGTCAATGTCGCATGCACATAGCAAAAATCCGCTCCAGTAGCCATGACCTTCTTATTGAGAGAGGGAGATACACAAAAGAAACTGGAACGTGGACGAGAGCCTGCAGATTCTGCTGCAACAAGGAGAACGTTCAAGGCTTAGAATATTTCCCCTTTTTCGAAGGAACAATCATTGAAAATGAAGAACCCTGCCTCACCGAATGTCCAATGTACCACTCAGCGAGACTCTCACTGTCGGAAAACCTTAAGAGTCTTTTGCTGCTCAAGGAATACGGAGCTATCATGAATTCTGCCCATGTGCAAGAACTGGGCAAATTCCTTTGCAACTGTCACCGCATCAGGAACCCGAAAAAGACGCCAATACTGCCTGTCACCCCATCAGGACTACCAACTCAACAGACATAATACAGATCAACCATCATTATGCAGATTTCACGATCTGTTGTACGAGCATGGAACACTAGTGATTACTGTTTCCAGTACGTTGTGACTGTGAGTGGGAGGACTGTTCGAGTATGAATGTGTCTTTTGTGGACTCGAATACTGATATCGTAGTTTAGTGATCATTGAAGTTGCCTTTTACTACTTCCTCTTATGTTAAATTATTATTTCAGCAATTATTTCTATTTCGGTTGTTTGTACGGGAGTTAAATTTTAAGTGATTTTGTTTCAAATTTTCATGATTCTTGAAATTCGAATTTTACTTACTCTAGGTATGTTATTCATTCATGTATAGTCGAGACGATGGTGTTACGTACGTTTTGGTACGTTTTGGTGAGTTTGGCAGGGCGTGCGCAGGACAACTGCATCGAGTGCGTCCTCCTCCAGCTCAGCATTGAGTTATCGTTTGTCGGAGTGTAGCCCGGAACCGGTGGTGTGTCTGGGTACTGTTCCATAAATCTGCCTAGACCAACTTTGAAACTGTCTAGCAATGTGATACTCCGGAGCTCCGATGGGAGCACGTTGAAGAGCTGAGCTGCTCTAACTCTAAAGCTGTTGTCGTAATCTGTTCTTACCGACAACTGTGCGTTTTTGTTCATGGCTGGGATCTCTGCCTTAATACCATGCCTTTGATGAGACTTGAACTTGAAGCCCGTATCGTTCGGAGCATGTTCATTAAGAATTTTCCATACATGAATAATAGAATAACGCTCTCTCCGCCTCTGAAGGGACATCAAGTTAAGCTTCTTCAGCCTGTCCCAGTACTGGAGATCACGGCAGCCAGATATCTTTCTATTAATGGATCTCTGTACAGTCTCCAGCTTTTGTATCTCTGTGACTTTTGTAGGGTTCCAGACTGGACAGCAGTACTCTAGCTTGGAGCGAACCATGCTTTTGTATAAAGTCAGCATGACTACTTGTGACCGGTCTCTAAAGGCACTCAATGTCCAAGCCGCCATTTTTCTAGCTCCTTGAACTGTCTTCTCAATGTGAGGACCCCATGACCTACTGCTGCTAACATACACTCCAAGGTCTCTGACAGTTTCCTGTGGTGATATTGCGTGTCCTTTTGGTGTAGTATACTCAACAGTCTCTGGGTAGAACGGGAGCTCTCTTAGAGCTTTTGATCCATTCAGGGGGTAGTTTACAACCTCAAACTTCTGTTCGTGTAGCTCCATGTTGTTAACACGTGACCACTCGATGACTATGTTGAGATCATCTTGCAGTAACTCCACACTACTCATTCCTCGGATAGCCCCAATCAGCTTTGTGTCGTCTGCAAAGCTGAATCCGTTACTATAGCTAATGCTGTTCAACAGATCGTTGATGTACAGGATAAATAGGATCGGTCCTAGGACTGTCCCTTGTGGCACCCCACTTGCCACTGGCTGGAAGGATGATTTGCGACCTTCAACAACGACTGTTTGTTTTCTGTTTAGCAAAAACTCTTTGATCCACCTTAAAGCCTGACCACCAATTCCGTATCGACCAAGCTTGGCTAGCAGCACTGCATGGTCGACCTTGTCAAAAGCTTTGGCAAAGTCGAGGTAAATCACATCAACTTCTTCATCAATGTTGAGTGATTTATAGATCTGTTCGATGTGACTGAGAAGCTGCGTCATGCAACTCCTCTTTTTTCTGAACCCATGCTGGTTCGTATTGATCATCATGTTCTCTTCCAAATGACGAACCAGGTTTTTTCTGATTACACGCTCAAATGTCTTTATGATGTGCGAGGTTAAAGACACTGGTCTATAGTTTGCTGGGTCCGTTCTGTCCCCCTTCTTATAGATAGGGGTGATATATTGGGTCTTTAATTCCGCTGGTATATACCCACTGCTGAACGATTCCTGACAGAGGAGTGTTAGCGGGTCTGCAAGTTGTTCTTTGCAGGCTGTGAGTATCCTAGCAGGAATCTCTCCGTCAGGTGCGGCCGAATAGGGATCCAGTTCTCCTAATGCTTTAATGATATCTTTTCTTGTGAAGCTTAGCTCGTTGAATCCGGAATCCAGTCCCTGAGGTAATCCTTGGCTCTTCATACATTCATCAATATCGGCACTCATAGGGTTACTAAATACCTTCTGTATTTTCCTCTGACTCTGTAATAGTGTCCAGTTTGTCGACACTAGCACTAAGTGCTTGTTTCGGAATCAGTTTCAGTGAGCCTTGTTTTGGAGGGTTTGATGAAAGCAGCATATCCTCCAATTCATTCTTTTCCAGACACACGTGGCACATCCAGACAAATCCTTTTGGATTTGTTTCACTCATACTCGTTGCCTTTTTCTTCAGCTCCTCACAGTCGTGACTTCCCAATAGGCACAATCTGCAGGTGAAAAGAGGCGTGGATTCCAGTGTGTTCTGGTACACTAACTTGCAGTCACTGCATTCAGCTTCAAATAGTGACTCTATCTTCAGGATTATTCTGTCAGTCAGGATATCCTGGTTTCGATAAAGCTTTTCCTTACCATCCTCTGACCTGGCTTTGAGTCCAACTAATTTTGCACAAGCCTCTAGCTGCTGGGCATTGCACTTCTTGACGTTAGTTTTATTTTCACCATAAGGCAGTGAAGGACTATAGCTCGCAAGGGCTTTCTTGGCGTGCTCATCAGCTATGTTTGCAAGACCTCCAAGCACAACTTTCTGATTCTCTAGTATCGCTGGCATTTTCAAAGAGCAGTACCCAGACACGATGTAGGATGCTGGATCCAGCCGGGTCTGAAAAGATGTGCGACAGAAACTTGAAAGCAAGTTACCCTTGTAGTAGGGTAGGGGTTATTGGGTAGGTTTTGAAATAACTGATTGATCACGATTTTTCTTCAAATAACACAGACAGCGTAAATTCTTCAAGCTAAACTGCGTTCAAACGATAACAGCAATGAAATATCCAGCTCCCTTTTAGGGCACTCAACACGAATACGTACCCGTAGTATAGAGCTCTTCAACACGGCAATTGCTATAGCGTGACCCGCCGAATCATGTTGTCACACCTCAAATTATTTGTTATATAGTAGTGTTGAAAGTATTAAAACTGTTAGTGCCATCTCAGACAACTTTACGTTTAATTCCGTTTAATTCCGTTTAATTCCGTTTAATTCCGTTTAATTCCATTTCATAGTTATGTATTTTAGTCACTATAATATATTTTAACACGCATTAATCAATCCACTTTCAGCATCTTTTCACCTCACAAGCATAATCTATTGTATATATATTTCCAAGAATCCACTTTCAGCATCGTTTTGGACCACAAAAGCATTAACTATTTATTATCACCTAGGAGATTGCACTGCACTTTTATTTATTCCTTTCACGTGCCACATGACAACTGAAAAACTTCCAATCATTTTTTAAGCTCCACAGTCCACACCTCATGTTTGTAATTGATTTGTCACGTGCCATTATATTTATATAGGAAAGTTTAGAATTATCTGAAAGTTGGTTTTCATTTTTGTTGGTTTTTATTTTAGTTCATCTCTTTTAAGTTACCAAGTATCACAGTGCTGGCAAGCATGACCGTGCCTCTTATATTCACTGAACTATTTACCCCCTTCATTATTATACCCCCTTTACTATTTACCTCTTTTACTATTTCCCCCCTTTACTATTTACCCCTTTACTATTTACTCCTTTACTATTAACCCCCTATACTAGGAGGTGCACGATAAAAATAAACTTGCTCGGATTTTAAAAATTTTTGTACCACTGTTTTCTAGAGATTGTGAGAATTTCCCCAATACCAAATTTGTCATACCTTTTTGGAAAGATCAGTGAGTTTCGCCTAGGTGCCATATTTGATGGTGCGCGGCTTTTGGAGCAAAAGTAGCTGTAAAAGTCGCGTAATTTGACCAAATTCGTCCAAATTTGACCATTTTTGTCGTATTATTCGGATTTATCTTCAGTTCCTTAAATGAGATCATTCTGGAAATTGGCGACGACCTTCCAATAGGGCTTTCACAACTGTCCGAAAAATTTGGTGGATATCGGAGTTGATATAGTGATCAAAATGGGGCAAAATACGCTACTTTTAGCTGTAACATAATGTCTGATGGTTGGATATGCTTTAAATTTTTCGGACACTTTCCTTGTAAGTCTTTAAGTAAGCATACCAATTTTTGTTGCAATTGGAGGTCGGGAAGGATACTCAATATCTATTTGTTTGAAGAAAGTTGTGCTGGCCGAAATTAGCGCTAAAAAACCATCCTACAGTCGGCACGCGCGGCTCACTGTCGATGGCGCACTACCTACCTATACTATTATACCCCCTTTATTGTTTTTCAGGCATTAAGACTCATCGAAAGTGGTTCAGCAGGCATATTTTAAGTTCAAAACATTCTAATTTCTTATTCAAAGTCAAAAATGACAGGAATAAGAAATAATTATGTGGAGGTTTTTAAGAAATTTGCATAAAATACGCGCCAGCACAGCTGTTATACGAAATTCGGTAAAAACCCAAAATCGCCATATTCAAGTGCCTTAAAAACCCTGTTAAAATTGAGTTAGAGATCTGAAATTTTGCAGAGCGTTAAAATTACGCTCGAGGTCCTAGCGTTCATTTTAATGTTCAAATGAAGTCCATCCGTTTAAGGTTCGTCTAAGTTAAAGTCCGTTGAGATATTTTTCCAAAATTATTCCAGTGCGAACTCATGTTTAGGATATGACAACTTTTTAATTTCAGTCAATTGTTATTTCTATCATCGGATTCGGACTAAACTATATCATTGGATCAATGAAAAACGAGTTATTATACAACTTATATATTCTAAGTATCACATTATGGCATGATCACTTTTTTGATCTTCGGCTTCCTGATCGTTCACTTCTTCGGAGTTATTATTTACCTCCACATCTTGTAAAAGTTTACACTGAAATGCAGGACCGAGGTCGTCAAATAAAAAATTGTTTTCACAAAGCAGGTATTACTAATATGATGATTGATGCTTTAAGCATAGAATATTTAATGCACGATAACCCATTTGAGGAAGATGACCTGTGATATGATCATCAAATCTGGTCATATTTCGTATCTGTTGTTTTTACACAACTTTCATAATCATAGACACTGATCTACAGATATTTTGACATCTTTTACTGCTTAACGACTGCCTTTCTTGCTCACTGTATGAAAAATTAATTTACAAATTAGATTAAAACATTTGGATTTTTGATGGTTTTGAATGCCTTCAAGCGTCCATTTTAATATGTCCGTTCATAATTATATCCGTTCATTTAATGCCCGGTTAAATAAGGTCCGATAAGGTATATTCAGGGATAGACGCTTTGCCAGTCAATTGTAGCCTGTATTTAAGTGTCCGTATTTAATTAAGTATTGGTAGACTCACAGTAATTGTGATCCATGATATCACGATCGGCACTACAAAATCAGCTTCAAAGAATCAAAAGATTGAAAAATGGAGTTTCTATCTTCTTGGAGAAGATTTAGCTGGAAAGCCTTTTCGGTGTTTGGAGCAATCTATCTGCAGAGTGTGTTAATCTACACTACCTCAGTCCTTCAGTCAGCATTCTACGTTACTCATCTTGTTAACAGAGGTTTGAATATGATACCTTTTCTAAACTAAATTTCAGTTATTTGGTCGTTTGCTTGAAATTTATGCTTCTTTCTCTATCTATTTCAAGAATAATGATTAATTAACTAGAAATATCCATTTCAGGAATCCCAAAATTTCAAGTTGGCCTCATTGGAATGGCTCCTGGTATTGGCTACATTCTAAACACCTTTTATGATGTCACCGGCTACTTCCTAAGAACCAAACATATTTCCTTAAGAGTAACCCAGTGCATCTTTTTGACAATGCTCATAGCCAGCATTCTTTGTAAGTATCTTTCTGTTTTAAGCTTCAAATGAGGCTAGAATGTTATTCATTTTTGAGGAATATCATTTATCACCGACCTTGCAAATTTTACTTGTCTGTCATTTAGTCAGTGTAATAAGCGCCAAGCGCGAGCACAGAATTTGTTTGTCCAGATATCGTTTATATGCCTTTTAAAGTGTGCGGGGGATACGGAAGCATCGAAAACCACCGTGTAGCACTTTTCAATTGCTTAATTTGACGCTGATATTGGTGTTTTTTGCCTTTGCCTGTCAAAGTGTAAAAACTTTTTCTTACTGGCCTCACCCGATGAGGTTTTGGTAAAATTTTGATACCAATATTTGACCAAAACCCATAATCATGGGTAGAGTGCTGCCAGTGACTCTCTTTCCCAAACAAAAGTAAATGATATTAATTTGAATGACCGTCTGCAAATTCAAAATGATACCGAGAATGAAATCGGTCGCTGGCTTTTCCCATTCATTCACGGCTTATGAATTGTAATAAGTTTCGAATAATTGCATCAATCACATGCTGTGGGTTGCTTTCGGGTCGAATGTCGATACCTAGTATTTCGGGATAAGGGCGGTTATATAATAATGATGATTGTGCCATACTGATGAGTCCTAAATAGAACGAAACACTGTGTCTATGGATATATACCTTATCGGACCTTATATTTGAACGGTCATCAATTGTTATTGAACGCTGGAGGTCCTAGCGTTTATTTTAATGTTCGTTCAAATGAAGTCAGTCCGTTTAAGGTCCGTCCAAGTTAAAGTCCGCTGTCCGTTGAGATTTTTACAAAATTATTCCCCTGCGAAGTCATGTTGAAGATATGACAACTTTTTAATTTAAGTCAATTGTTATTTCTATCATCGGATTCGGACTATATCATTGAATTAACGAAAAACAAGTTATTATACAATTTAAATATTCTAAGTATCACATTATGGCTTGATCACTTTTTTGATCTTCGACTTCCTCGTTCACTTCTTCGGATTTATTATTTACCTCCACATCTTGTAAACGTTTGCACTGAAATGCAGGACCGAGGTGGTCAATATAGCAGTTAGCAGCAGTTAGCAGCAGTTAGCCGCAGTTAGCAGCAGTTAGCAGCAGTTAGCAGCAGTTAGCAGCAGTTAGCAGCAGTTAGCAGCAGTTAGCAGCAGTTAGCAGCAGTTAGCAGCAGTTAGCAGTAGTTAGCAGCAGTTAACAGCAGTTAGCAGCAGTTAGCCGCAGTTAGCAGCAGTTAGCAGCAGTTAGCAGCAGTTAGCAGCAGTTAGCAGCAGTTAGCAGCAGTTAGCAGTAGTTAGCAGCAGTTAGCAGCAGTTAGCAGCAGTTAGCAGCAGTAAGCAGCAGTTAGCAGCAGTTAGCAGCAGTTAGCAGCAGTTAGCAGCAGTTAGCAGCAGTTAGCAGCAGTTAGCAGCAGTTAGCAGCAGTTAGCAGCAGTTAGCAGCAGTGAGAAGCAGTTAGCAGCAGTGAGCAGCATTGAGCAGCAGTTTCTTTGCACTTTAGTCCCCCTGTGCATACATACCTCTTATTAGAATTCAATATAACTTTATTATCATACAAATTTCAAAAAATTATAGTTCTTCCAGCAAGGAGCAAACACAGTTATAATATTTTGTGTGACAAAATTAACTTATTTTAAACATGTATTGCGATGTTTCAATTGTGACACTGTAAAAATATTACTACCACATAATAATTTATGTGAATGGTGCGTGGTTGTAATTGTGTTAAATGATCCAGTTTGTGATATAGGGTGTTTAAGCTGGTATTTCAATATTTGCTCAAAATTTGCTCAATTTTCACAGATATCATCAAGAGTATGTGACAAAATAAACGTATTCGTGCATTCTGTGTGTTATATGCTTGCGACTGTATGATATCTTACTATATATAAAGCGAGACGATATATATATGTGTATATATCCGTGCCATTTTACTGACACCACGGCATCAACTTTAACGCGACTTTCCGCAAAAACCGTAAAACATATACAACTGAAACTTTTTTGACTGGGTCAAATGCTTTAATGGCCTTCAAATCAGCATGAAAAAATAAAAAATTGGCCAAGGAATAATAATTTTAGTGCCCAAAATTTGGACTCTCAAGTGGTGTCAAAAACGCGAATTAAATAGGTAATAATTATTTTAGTCTCTCGAGTCTTGACACCAC